TGATAGTCTCAGTATGCAGTCATTCCTAAGATCTTGTCATAACTAATAACGACTAGGGGTGTCAAAATTTGACACGACATGAAAATCCGACCCGAAAAATCCGGGTTGGACCCGACCTGATTTCAAAACGGGTCGGGTTCGGGTTCCAGAAATAAACCCGTTTGAACGGGTCGGGTTCGGGTTGACCCGACGGATTACCGGGTCAACCCGCGAACCCATTTAAAATCAGCTGCCTGCGAAGCTGCCCCGCCTGCTAGAGCACCGCCCGCGGCTGCCTGGACCATGCCCTCTCAGCTGCCCGCGCGACAAAGCCTGCCAGCGCACACTGCCTCGCCTGCCAGCACCGGCGCCCCATGCCCGAGGCTGCCCCGCGCCGCACGCACCCACCTGTGTTACAAAATGATAGATCAAGTGACTAGTAAGATTTGTCTATTAAATATATAAGGAATATAGTCTTCCTTAAAAAAATTTGAATTTATTTAAAAACAAACATGCTATTAGAATTAATGAATTTTGTATGTAAATTAATTAAAAATAAAACATTTATTCTGGTTGAATTGTTGAAATACTCTCAATAATTTTCTCGGTTCTAGCTAGCTACACATAGGCAACGGGATCACATGGGCTGGACCATTTAAGCCTTTAAGAAGAGTGACTGTGAAAATGAGATGTCTAATCGATCCATTACAGCTTTCGAGATCGAAATGAGAGTCTGTGGCTAAGACGGAAAAGATGTCGAGCTCAGTTTGACCATTCACATCGACCCGTTAACAAATTTCGTCACGCTTTGTCCCATTGGATGTGTATGTGAAAGCTTTGGTGGGGTGCTATTGTTGCTCTATGTTATAATTTGTTTCAAATGATATCCGACCAATTGAAAGGGAAAGCAATTACTCTCAGCCAATTTTTTTAAAATCTCTTATTTTAGGGTATGTTTTGAATAACTTTTTTATTGTTTTATTTTTTATATCGTAATCATAATATTTATTTTTTTCAGCTTCAAAAAAAAAATTATGTTAGGAAATTATTTTTTATGGCGGCTTTTCAGAAAAGTTACGTTTCCAATAACAACTTTATTAGGGGTGTCAATTTCGGGTCACGGGTCGAACTCGGAATTGACCCGAGACTATTCGAGTCAACTAGAACTCGACCCATTTTTGCATATGTCAACCCGATCCGACCTGCTTTGGGTTCGACAACGGTAGAAATCACTTGTTTAAGGGACTTTGGTGGCCTGCAACATCGCGGGCAACTGGAGTTCGGTGGCGGCAGCATGCAGTGGGCAGCAGCGACACTCTGTGACATGAGGCAAACGTGACCTCGGCGGCTACTCGCTGGCAGACGCGACGGCGCGAGCCGCGCAACAGGGCAGGCAGGCGATGTGACGAGCGTCACGCGCGACAACGGCTCGATGCAGGAGGGCAGAGCGGGCCGCTTGGTCATTCCGGGTCATTCTAAGTTCCCCGGTCAACCCGAACCCAACACATTTTTTGAAACGGGTCGAAAACCCGAACCCAACCCGGTTCGGGTTCGATTCAGCCCAAACCCAAAATTTTTAGGGCGGATTCGGGTCGGGTCAAATATTGACACCCCTAAGTTTTATAATCACATTTATAAAAAAGTTTTAATCATCTCAAATAAATCCTTAATCTCTTTAAGGAGAGCCACTAATTTAAATTCGTAGAAGGTTGCTTATGGTTCTATCTAGACTGTATCATGATAAAAAATTTTAAATATTTAATTATCTTCTTCTAATTGCACCTTCTTCCGAGTTGGGGATGGTCAAATCCCAACTCTCAGTTTTCTTTGATCCTTGAATTGAGCGGTATTATCTTTGGGAGATATTGGGTTCTCTGTTTACCATATATCTATTTTATGATTTTATCTGTCCTTTGGATACCATGGTGGTATAATTTTGAATGAGAACTAATTGCTTTCTTCCCTTACCCTCACTAACATCATCAAATACCTGGAATATATTAAAAATATCCGCATTTCCCTTTGAAGAGAGAGAGAGAGCTGAACGTAGAGAGAGAGAGCTGAACGTAGAGAGAGAGAGAGAGAGAGAGAGAGAGAGAGAGAGAGAGAGTATTTTGGAATGATAAAAGGATTTCTCAATACTCTTTTGCTAACAGTTTTAGCAAGTAATTGGACTAAACTCAGAACACTAAAAGTGATGTGATATGTCTCTAGTGGTAGGGCTGCAAATGAATCAAGTCAAGTAGAGTAGGTGCTCGTTAATGTTTGAGCTCATTTATTATCAGCTTATTCAAAATTGGTTCAAGTTCGATTCAAACTTTTAATGTGTGTGTTGAAGCTCGGTTCATTTAAAATGATGGATAATCATGTTTGGTATGTGTTTAATTCATTTTGTTTATATCGAGTTTTAAATAAATGAGCCTTATCATTATTTCTAGATGTTCATTAGTTTAATAAACGAGTCTTACCAAGCCTAATAACTGACAATTATTGTAGAGCTTAGTCGCGAACATATCTAGCGAGTATTTTCGAGTTATCAAAGTTCTCATTCACGAGTATATCTAGTATGTGTTTTCAAGCTATCAAATTTACCCGTTCACGAACAACAAGCTTAGCAAATTATTCTTCTTATGAACAAGCTCGTTCAATAACACTTTAAACAAACAATCTAATAAACATAAACAAATACCTCTTTTTTATAGACAAATCCATTCTAATAAAAAGAGTATAACATAAAAATGGAATTATTTTTTTAATAAAATAAGAATTATTTATTATAATAAAATCAAAAATTATGTAAAAATATATCAAATAAGGATTCAAGTTAATCTTAAGAAATATATTTAATTTTAAACATTAAATATAAATAAGTTTGTTCATGATCTCTATATCGAATATGAATCAAGCACTACAGAAAAAACAGTCAATACCGGCGGCTTTGACTGGCGGTTATATGGTCGTCGGTACTACCGGCGGTTTGCCCGACGGTCTCGCCACCGGTTAATACCGGCGGCTCACCCGGTGGTTTTCTAGATTTAGACCGCCGGTAATAGCGGCGGTCATTTAACCGCCGGACATTAAAAATACCGGCGGCGTTCCGGCGACGTAAACCGTCGCTGTTAAGTAAACTCAATACCGGCGGTTATATGGCCAAAACCATTCTTAATAGCTATTAAGTTTCTTATAGAGCTTCATAGATTATCTAAAATTTTATACTTCATTACTGCGTAAACCGTCGCTGTTAAGTAAACTCAATACCGGCGGTTATATGGATCCCTTCAGAAGTTGTTTATCTAAAATTTATTTTTAAATTTTAGTTTTTAAAAATAGCTATTAAGAATGGTTTTGGCAAAACATTTCATATCTAATTCATAAAAATAGCTATTAAGTTTCTTATAGAGCTTCATATCAAAGTTGTTTACGAGCTTTAAATGTTGTTGTTCATGAACATAAACGAGTTGAACACATAGTTATTCAAGTTTGTTTATTAAACCATCAAGTATTTTAAAAAATATTCAAGCTTGTTTGATTACTTGATCAAATGATCACAAACGAGCTATAATCGAGTCAAGCCATAAGTAGCTTGTTGAACGCTTGGTTCGTTTGCAACTCAACCAATGAGTCAAATAAAGCAGAACTAAAAATCTTGATATTAATTGAAAATTCAATGATTTTAAAATCATACCTATTTATATTTAAAATGAGTGTCCCGACGAGAGAAATCAATTAAGCCCAAAATCATTCAATTTCTCTAAGGTCATTAAGGCATTTAAATTATGAAAGAATAGTCTTTTATCGAGAGAATCAATACAAACATTTTAATATAGTATTTTGAAATTTTGGTTAAATTTACTAAAAAAATCACTCCCAAATATTATGAGCAGACATTTATTCTTCTTATTAAAGTAATTTGAAGTTGCAAACAATCACCTTCACATAACTATTATTGCTTCGATGGCCTTCGTGCAACCATCATGCTAGACCATCATAGTTCATTCGTTATCATGTACTCGTTGTCACTCAATCATCTTTAGTTGGTCCATAGCGTCCAACCATCATAGCCTGATTACCATTTCTTGTGTGTTGTTGCCCAATTATCATCACTAGACCATCTGTTGTCCTCCAACCACTATTGACTAATTGTCATAACTCATTTGCTATTATATAATCATCATCATTTGATTGTAGTAGTTGGATCATCATCACTTGGTTGTTACACCCAATCGACACTATGCGACCATCGTCGTTGCCGTTCGTCACATCTCTAGTATTCTCAACCACATTCAAAGAAGGTCAAACTTGTATTTCATATTTGTAATCTCATCTTGACCAAATTAGGGGAAGAGTGTACTTCTAGAATCTCAATTTTAGATTAGACTATTTTAATTGGATATGGTCTCATGACTTTCTTCTTTTTATCAGGAAAAATTTCATGAATATTCTTTTCAGACAAATTCCCCCTCTTTTCTATACGTTGCATAGCCGCCACAACAAAATTTGACTCAAACTACTCAAATTCAAATTATGCTTGAACTAGATTCAAACAATTCTCAAAATGAATCGAGCGATGTTAGATCTAATATTGTTTGAATGTGATTCAAACAAGGTTCAAACTTATTTCGAGCCTTCCTTCACTCGCACATTTCTATGATGACATCCACATGAAGCCTCTTCACACCATATATCCTGCTGATACCTTCCCCAACGAGCTCCTATTACAAAACCATTCTTCCTTTACATACCGTTGGTCCCATCGGTGAGTCCTCGCATCACAAAATTATTTACATCCATAAGTTGGTCGAGTTTGCGGGCCCTTAGCTTCAAATTTGAAGTTAGATTTGAATATATTCGAATCTTATTTGAATACAAATTTAATTTAAAGTTTAAATTTAAATCAATTTGAGCTTTTTAAAATAAATTTCAATAAATAATAAATAATTTAAGAATATAAAAGAGAAAATATTAATCCTAAATAAACTTCGAGTCTTCGAGATATATTTCTTCTGGAAATGAAGCATCGGCTATATTTCTCCGTACCATTATGAGACAAAATCCCTTCTCAACTCTTAATAAAGCGAAAAATCTACCTGCCGGCGGGGGATCAGAGGGCGAGAGAACTTGGAGATGCTCATCGGAGAGGAGGAGAGAAAGAGGAAGATGAAGCTTCGGTACGCCATGATTTGTTCCTCAAACCAGAACCGGAGCATGGAAGCTCACTCGCTGCTCAAGCGCGAGGGCTTCGACGTTTGTTCCTACGGCACCGGCGCTCATGTGAAGCTTCCCGGCCCCTCCCTCCGCGAACCCAACGTTTACGAGTTCGGCACCCCTTACAAGCAAATGTACGACGAACTCCGCCGCAGGGACCCCGATCTGTAGGCCTTCTTTCCATTTTCTGCCTTTCATTTTCAAAACCCTAATCCCTCAACTTACTTACCCTTCGATTGTTTGATTTATGCTTCTGGAATCAAATGATTTAGGTACAAGCGTAACGGGATTCTGCCCATGTTGAAGCGCAATTACAGCGTGAAGACTGCGCCTCAGCGCTGGCAGGATAACGCTGCCGATGGCTACTTCGATGTTGCCTTCACATTTGAAGAGAAAGTGTTTGATACGGTGATTGAAGGTTTGTCTCCAACTTGCTTCCATTATAAGGACTCAATCAGCCATAACATTGGAGAGATCATCCTCTCATGGGGACTTGCTCAGCCATTGCATTTGGGGATTCACTTACCAAACAAGAGGAATCTCCTTCTAATCCTTGAGTTCTCCGTAAATCTTTTAAAGCACCAAATGTAAACTCTTGAAAAATTAAATTAGATAGTTGATTGGGTAGTAGTTAATGATTACGAAGCATGATTAAATGAGGTATATTATAAGTGGTTAGTGGTGGCTGGAATGTACAACTAGTATTCCATGGATACTTCATCAATAGGAAGTAGTGCAGCATCGCAAGGGGACAATGAGGTGGTGATGTTGATCACTTTGGGAGAAATGTCTTATCAAAAGAGAGAGGGAAGGGAATAATAGAAATTGAGGGAGGAAGTGATATTGGGGTTTCGCTAGTGACTAGAGGTTGATTCATCGTGCAGATGGAGTAATTCTGATTTTGTTCTTATGTTGAATTGTGGAGGGAAGGATTTGCAAGAATGTTGTCTGATTGTTTTTATTAGCCTTTGGATCTTAAGGTGATTGGGTATTATAACTCATGATGGATGTTGTCTGATTGTTTTTATTAGCCTTTGGATCTTGATGTGATTGTGTATTATAACTCTATGATGGTAATGGAGTGTGGCATTAACATGATTTCATTTGCAACTATCCTTTTCATTATGAGTATTTAACTAGAGAAGAGATCTCATTGTTGTAGTCATTGTTGTATTTGGTGAAAAAGTTTCATAGTAGTGGTTATGGAATTTGTAGACACTTTCAAGTTTCATCGCTGAACTCTTATGTTGGTTCTACTTGAAACTTTTGGATTTTATGCAAGATAAATTTTTTCCTGATTTAACATGTTTAATACTATAGTTATGAAAAGAAGTATTTTGATAACCCATTGTGTAGTTTAGGAAATCTTATGCTTCTCTTGTGTAGCACAATTGATTGCATAAGAGGGTAAATTGGCTACACTTAGATTGTCATTTGAGTGGGTCCTTTTGATATCAAAAATTACTTAGCAACAGACATACAAGCACATAATGTTGGGATGAATTAAAAAGGTTTGAGTAGAGTTAGGTTCAAGTTTCCTATTGGTAAGATTTGTTTTTATGAACTATGTAAACCCTCCCATTGGGGACAGTGAAGGGATCCACCAATTAGTAGGAAAAAACCCAAAACCCTTAGGGTTCTCCTACGTGGAAATGGGAAAAGAAATGAAAATAGTGAGTTTTATCCTTCATCACTATAAATAGGAACAGTGGAAATTATCATTTTGGAATTGAAAATGAGGTGATGGGTGAATGATGATTTCACAAATTCATCTCCTTGATTCACTTTGCTACATCTACCGCTTCCCTTATCTAGCAAAAGCATATCTTTTTTCCTTCATTATTGTATTGATTATGACTTTTCTATATCTAATCTTTTTTAGCTTGGTTCAGTGTTTGCATTGTTCTGTTTATATTATATTCTCAGCAAATGTTTAATGTTTTTCATGCTTAGTTTGGTGCATAAAGTTGATGTATTTTTATATGCATTTGTCAAATTGAATGTGAAAGCACTCAAAATTTTGGTTGTGGGAGTCTCTTAGACAAAGATAATCATATCGCTTAGAGTTGTAAACTGGCCAAGCTTGAGCAGTTTGGTAGTGTTTGTATTCGACCCATGTTTGAAATATTTCGTGAACAATGTGTTCATATTCGGCTCTTTATAATTTGAACTAAATACAAGCCAACACTAGCCAATTTTGAACAAATGAAAATAAATAAATAAAAAGCTGAATATGAACAGATTAGTGAATTTTAAAAATATAAATCATGCTCAAAACACCTATTCGTGCTACTTGCTCACTTGACATATTAATTGAACAAGGGCTTCTTAATTTGCCGAACACCCGTGAATGATGAGCTTTTTTATGGCCCCATTTGAGATAAACAAATCACCACTAGCCAATTAGCAAACTGGTATTGCCTATAGCCAAAAAAACAGAGATTGTTTTGTCCGGACGTCGAACGTAGTTTACTGTTCGGAGACCAATCAGAATACGTCAGATCAGAAGTACCGAGCCGGGTACTGAACATTACCAAGCCACTGTACCGAATAGGGGGTGGTGTGGCACATTCTGATTTTTCTCTTGTCGGCATTCGGCATCCGCACATGCGTCCGCACAGATTAATTTCTCCAAAAAAAACAAGTGATCAAGTGACTTGGACAAGGAACTTTATTTGAACATCCAGTCTCTCCACATTCTCCCTTGTTCTTTTGCATTCTACCTTTGATGTGATTTTTCTCTTTATATAAACATTTGAACATCCTGATCTTTGTACTCATTTATACAGATTTGAACAATCGGAAACATTCATTAATGAAAAGTGTACTCGTAATCAACTTGGAGGTCAAAGATAACCATGAAGAGGCTGCCATTGGAGCCAAGCTTGCTGTTGATTTATGCCAAGAGGTAATCACTTTGTTCCAATGAGTGCCACCAAAATGTATTATGCTGTAGAGATTTTAGTTATGCTGATCAACTTCGAAAATGCAATCAATAGGATTCATTGTTTGGAAGGCTTCCTTTAGAACTACTTAAAATAGTTTCTGCTTTATAAAATAGTAAGGAAATCGTCCCAATCGAAGCCGAAATGTCAACGTTGGTCTTAAGGCTTCGTTTGGAACGACTATCTTACTGCTTCTTAAATCAGTTTTTTAGTACTAAAATTTTATTTTAAAAAGCAGTATAGCGTATGTAATAGTTCATTGACGAAATTGCATTCATGCTTTTGCAGCTGGAAGCTGCGGACTTCTGGGAAGATTCAATTGATGATATTGTGGCTGCATTTGAGCAGCAGCATAATAGGAAGCTTCTTTATAGCATCTGCTTCTACTAGATTCTTTCAATGCAAATACAGTTTCGTTGATGCCTAATGCCCTTCATGTTAGACAATTTTCTTCAGCTGCTCTGTACTTCAAATAGTCTTATAGCTGTATTTTTCCTTATGGAAAAAAAAAAAATTAACCAATTAAAATTCCAAGAACATATGTGAAGATTGGGATGCTTCTTTCTTTTATCAATAGCTTACAATAAGCATTACAAATGTTCATTTAGTAATAATTTGGTGCCTTTTATATAATTCTTTTATAAATTTAAATCAATTATATGCTTCTTAAAACAGCTTTCTAGTATGCAAATTTTAATTTTTGTACTAAAAAATTATTTTATGAAATAGCAAAGAAAACTGTCCCAAACAAAACCTAAAACTACTGGTTAGAGAGATTTTGGCTCTGTTTGGAGCAGCATTTTTACTGCTTCTTAAAGCAACTTTTTAGTATAAAAATTAAAATTTTTACATTAGAAAACAACTATTAGAAGCAGAAAGAAAGTCGTCCCAAACGGAGCCTTCATTAATCTCTTGACTGGCAATTTTCTAAATACTTGATACCATTTTCTAAGGCCCCTTGTGCTTGGGGACTCCAAGTTCTGCGGGGAGTACAGAAGATGTTCTTGATGATAGCAGAATGTAGATCGAACTCAGTTTTTAGCTTATTGCAGCTGGCTTCGATCCACTTCTCTGCGATGCTTGTTGACACGCTATCTTGACTGTCCCTCTCACGCTCTTCAATAGCTGGTCTTATTTCGTCATACAAACAATCCAGTTGAGAGGTAGCCTGATTTTTCAATTCCTGTAAAGATGATTAAAATAAAATAAAAAATTTTGTGAAGCAGCAATTCTTGTGCCGAATGACAAATTTTAATGATTGCATGATATATATTTCATTGCTTCTTAAAATAATTTTTTAGGACAAAAGTTTTATATTTTGTACTAAAAAATTATTTTAAAAAGCTGGAAGAAAATCGTCCCAAGCAAAGCCAAAGTTCAATAAACATCGGAAATTTTGAAAGCCGAATCTCACCGAGGGTTTGTTTGGTGATGCTTTTCTTCTACTTTCCATTCTGAAGTTTGGCATTGTAAATTTGATTTGTGGAAAATGTAGAATGAAAAGCTCTTGATGTATATAACTAAGGCTTCGTTTGAACGGCTTTTTGATTGTTTCTTAAAGCCATTTTTTAGTATAAAAAATTTTAATTTTTATACTAAAAAATTGCTTTAATAAGCTGTGAGAAAGCCGTCCCAAACGAAGTCTAAAGTACAAAGTAACTCATCTATTTTAATGAAATATTAATTTAATTTCATACAGCACTACAAAACACAACAAAAGAAGGCGCTGCTCTTGGTTCAGCTTATCTGCTTTGAAGAATATGGCGAAGAAAGAACCCAGGGCCCAGTATTTAGATAAGTTTATTTTTTATGGGTTCGAATTACATACATTATGATTATCTCATTGATTAATAAAAAAGATTAGGATAGAAGTGGATAAGATAGAGTTGAAGGATTAAATTTTTTAGCTGAATAAATTTAGTAATAAGTGAGTGAAGATGCTATAAATATTATTAGTGCTTCTACTACTCAATTTAGAAGCTAGCTTAAAAATAATTTTGGGGAAGATATGAATGAACTATTATAATGCATACCTAAGAAAAAAGAAAAAATATTGAAGAAACTTCATTCTACTTGAAAAAAAGGAAAATTCTTCGCCAAAATTGTAAGATGGTTTCAAAAAAAAATTCTCTACAACATCATATATACATAAATCTCTCTCTCTCTCTCTCTCTCTCTCTCTCTCTCTCTAAGGAATACAAATATAATGATAAAAGGTGGTAATATCTCAAGGATAAAATGATGAAAATTTAAAGTTGTGAAGTTGTTAATCTTTCAAAAGTTTTTAAGAGCTAAATTGAAATTTTATAATTGAACTAAACATGATGTGAAACAGGATGACTAGTTCCATTAAAAAAACAAAAAATTAGTCTCACCTCTCTAACATTCTATGACAATCCTACAAGCTTCATCCTCAATAATGTAATCGCCAATTTCTTATGCACTTTCTATATCCCCACGAATTATGTTCCCTCAGTAAGTATATCCCCACGGATGATGTTCCCTCACTAACAGGATTTTGATGCCCTCATAATCCTCCACCTCTTCAAACTACATATTAAAGGATTACTAATCACTCAATTTGAAGTCAATTACAATGAATTCAAAGACTAAATTGATTTCTTAAAAAAAAATTGACACCAAAAGATTGATTGTCTAATCAAATTTTAAAAGAAATATCAAAGGTGCAAATGACAACAACAACAATAACAACAACATCAAGCCTTTATCCCACTACGTGGGGTCGGCTACATGAATCTTTTTTCTCCATTGTGTCCTATTAAAAGTCAATTTCTCGTTTAAATCTAATAAAGAAAGGTCATTCCTAATATTTTCTAACCAAGTCTTTTTAGGTCTACCCCTACCTTTCTTAACATAAGTCAAATCTAATACCTCTACTCTCCTAACCGGGTCATCGGAAGGCCGCCGTTTTATGTGACCAAACCATCTAAGGCGACTCTCTCTAATCTTATCTTCTACCGGAGCTACTCCAACCTTTTCACGTATATGCTCATTTCGTATCCTATCTCTAAGGGTAAAGCCACTCATCCACCTGAGCATCCCATCTCTGCCACACTTAACTTAGTATTATGCTTCTCTTTTAATGGCCAACATTCGGCACCATAAAGCATTGCAGGCCTCACTACCATCTTATAAAATTTTCCCTTAAGTTTGAGGGGTACATTTCTATCACATAACAAGCCCGATGCATTCCTCCACTTCAACCATCCAACTTGAATTCTGCTGATAATATCCTCATCTATTTCACCATCTCTGAACAATAGATCCAAAATATCTAAAACGTGTACTCTTATTAATGACTTGATCGTCCAAAGTCACAATTCCCTCACTAGGTCTATTACTACTAAAATTACACTCCATATATTCCGTTTTAGATCTACTCAAGCGAAAACCTTTAGACTCTAAGGTTGACCTCCATAATTCAAGTTTACATTCAACTCCCTCTCTAGTCTTATCAACAAGAAGAATATCATCAGCAAAAAGCATACACCAAGGTACATCCTCTTGCAAATGTCTAGTGAGAACATCCATGACTAAAGCAAAAAGATATGGGCTTAAGGCTGATCCTTGATGTAACCCAACCAAAATAGGAAAATACTTGGTCAATCCACCTTGTGTTTGAACACAAGTAATAGCTCCTACAAAAGGTGCAAATGACTAATCAACAATAAATTAAGTTTGGTATAATCCAACTGAAGTCAAGAAAAATCCATGGTGGATGCATTAATCAAATGCAAACTAGTTCAAGTTCAAATATATTTTGATATGAGCTAGTCATATTCATGATAATCAAGTCAATTAACCATGTTTTACTAATCTCTTCCCATCGGGCCATCTTGTCTACAGGGCAAGATTATAATACGCACAAGTAAAAAAAACCCCTATATTGATAAAGGAACAAGACCTATACTAGATGTCTTGCAAAATTTGATTTGTTGGGCCTTTAAATTAAAAAAAATCGTGAACCTCGATCCCTACCCTACATCGATATAAAAATTAATGTGAACTTATATCTTAGGTCTCCGTAAGAGCTAGGTTTATAAGTTCCATTATGGCTAGCGGGCTAAGTCATAATCTTTATAAGAACTAAACACAAACAAGCACGATCAATAAATCATCAGGCTTTCCTGATTCTAAACATTGTAAGTCCTGTTTAAAGGCCTTCAAAAGGTGGAAGTCTCACCCTAATTAATAAGATCAACACTTAGCCATCAAGCCCATCAAACTAAACCAATTGGGTCACCTTACATATAAAGTATGGTCATAAATCCCCATTATTAGGCTTCCTCATCCTTGAAGTTCTAAGTCTTGCTCACAGGCTTTCTAATGAATCTAAGCCCAATGAATTAACTTAAGTATTACAATATATGTAAACCCCAACCTAACTTAAACTCAGGCAAATTTTCATGCTAACAAGCCCACCAATCAAATTCAAATCCACTAATTAAGATCACAAAAATCAAAATTTTCATGTGTCGTCAACATGCTTTTTTTAGTCAAATTGAACATTGTGAAGAATTGAAGATCATGTCATGCCTCATAGCATTTGTTGGTTATGTCCAATATGTGGAACCACAGTGGCTATACTTTATGCCTCTAAACTATTCAGTAAAAAATTGGCACATCAAGCCCTCTGCAAGTAAAAGAGTCAACATCAATATCAAAAATACATCATTGACACATACCTATCCTTCAACCTATCTAGGTTATTTGAGATGAAGCAATCCACAGTTACTAATCATCCCTAGATGTTACGACTCAGTCTCCATAACATTGGTTTTTCCTGAGTGATCAAATTTCTAAGGACTACATTATCTCTCCATTTTTGCTCAGGCCACTTAGGGGCTTTATATAGAGCATGATTGATTCATAGGAGTTGAGTTCTCAAGACTCAAGTCTAGCCTAAAAATAGATACTAGAAGCTTGACCCTAAATGGCCTTAAGAAGTTATGGTGGATCAAGAGGAATAATACAAGGATTATTCTAAAATAATAATTCTAGGAGGATCCCAGCCAAACTACCTTATAAGACATAGAAGAAGTAGCCGTTATCCTCCCGTCTATATATTTTCCATAACCAATAAGGAGAGAGGATTCATCAAAAAAGTTGGCAAGCTAACTAAAAGTCTCTCATTAGGTTTTCATCAAAGATACAAAGATGCAGCCTTAATGCAAAGTTGCAAACATAACGGGTGGCTTCTTAGAAAAGGCTTCTTCCAGTTAAGGCTTGCGATTCCAAAGATTCAAGTCTTAAAAAAGATATCACATGGTAAATAATAAGGCATGACATTTGAGCATTACATCGTTCAGATATCCATTGCTAGAAGCTCATAGAAGCAAGCCCAAAGGTTTAAACCTCTAGTTACAATTCTCTCCACAACCACTAAGGAAAAAATAATTTCAAAAGGGTCACCAAGTCAACCATAAAATTTCCGCTAGATACTAAAAAATTATGATGCAATCTTAAGATAAAGATAATGAGTGGCTTCTCAAAAAAATTCTTCAATAGAAGACTCGCACTATAAAAATTTTGAGTCAAACAATGGATGTCGCATGGTGAATACAGGAGCATAATGCATGGGGAATTTATCTCTCAGAAACCCATCTCCAGAAGAGCATGATGGCAACTCAAAATGTTAAGACTCTATCTATAAGGTGCTCAATTACATCCAAGGAAAATAAGAACCTAAAGAAGTTTGCAAGTGACTATAAATCTCGCAACATATCATTCTTAAAGATGCAGAGGACAATCTGCTTCATTACATGACTCACATTCCAAAAGATTTAAAACAAACCTAAAGTTGCATGTTGAATGCCAAGGTGAGACATCCAACTAAAACAATTCCAAAAGACTCATCATTGCGAGGTTCCGACAATATGCTCAGAGGTCAAGACCTCAAATAAACAAGGTTGCATGGTGAGCATCATGACTGACATCAGGGCTATACAACTCCCATAGATCTTCCATCGAAATATCCCAACATTACATTAGAATGTTAAGACCTCAAATTCATAAACTAGCACATTGAACATCAGAGTAAGGCATCCAAGTAATACAACGGCTATAAATACGCCACTAGAATGTCTTTAGCATAAATGGGTTACAAAGAAACAAGTCCTATTACGGGTCTATAACATTACCAAAAGGTGTTCAAAAGAAAAT